ATTATTTTCCCTTGTACAGAAAGGTGAGTACATAAGGACCACTCAGATGAGAACTGATCAGGACTTGTTCCTCAAACAGAGCCCAAATCAAACTTTTTCTGATGTTATCAGTGGATGCTACACAGGTTTCAAAGACAGGTGCTCATATATTTCTGACCTTTCCTTCCCACCACAAAGAAAAAGGGCCTAAAACAGAGAGAAAGGTATTTTGCTATGGGCTTATATTCTTTCACCCATGCTTCTCTTTCTGTCTCTCCTAGACTCCCTTGATCAAGAATCTCTTGATCTTTTGGTTCTGAAAGTCATCACAGCATGTTTCAAACATATCCAATCATTCATAACTTCTCCCTCCAAGAAATATGCCAAACTCCTTTTGCATGTTTATATCTGATCCTCTTTACGGATACATTTTAGAGCTCCCCTACATTAACATCCCTAGTCTTCAGGTTACTTCAGATGATTCTTTTGTCTTTTCAAAACTAAATGCCATATATTTCTGATCTCAGGAATGAAACTGACTTCTTACTTCTGTCTTTTCAATATTTGAGAGGAAGCATTGTCACTTTTGCAGCTTCCAGCTCATGGTATTTTCTGCTTGAACAGAAGTTTAAGCATAGCCAAAGGATGTCTCTTTCACATTAGATAATATGCCACTTCTGTAAGGACAAGAGGCTCAACAGGTAAATTAGCATGAATTTTACATAATTCAACTATCTAAATTAGACCAGTTGAGATTCTGGTTGGAGAAATCAAAATCAATATGTTCTAGAAAGAATGTACAGTCAGCAATTGACTTAAAGTTGCTTTTCTTGTAAATACATACCTTTGGCTTGAGGATGTCAAAGAGTTTTCTTCTGAATCTTTGTACATTTTTGTGGCCCTACTTGGATGTTAAGTTCACCTTCACACTACATATTCACTTTCACTTGCACCTTGCTTTTAGACTGGGTGCTGAGCTGACATGTCTATGAGAGGTGTCTGACACATCCTATGGCTGTCACTGAGCAAGACCGAGTGGCCTCTTTTTCTGCTTGTTGGTTTCTCATACTTCAGTGACTCTCCTGTTCATTTTTGGAGGGCCTTGGAGCTCTGCTTCACTTCCTACACAAACTAGCTTCTGCGGTTGAGTAGGCTGAAAGGTTTCGTGTCCATTTTTCTTCCACATTGCCCTCTCTTTATGCATTTTTCCTCCCTGTCCAGTGGAAACAATGACTGAGTTAGGTGTTAGAAATTTTCAAGTCCCAACAAATAAACACACAAGTCTTCTTTTCTTCTCCCATTAATAACACTATCCCTTTCTCACTTAGTGGAGGACTTATGCATCAGCACTGCTGCCTGGCCAGTGTATTTGGGAAACGAAGTTTGGTGGAGAGGCAAAGTCCCCAACAAAGAAACCGAATGGGATCTCTGGAGTGCTGTGATGGCTCTTCAGAATTGAAGCCGTTTCTTGGTTTGCCTGCTCAGGTTTTCAATGAAAAATTGAAATGTTCTGTGGGAAGCAGAACCATTTCATGAATAATGCACCGCAACTGAAGGCTCGCCTCTCTATTGCAAAACAGTTTGATGTAAAACTTTCCAGTTTCTTCCAATTAGGACAAATGTAGAACTCTCTCTGTGCTGTCCTAAGGCTCAAAAGGCAACACAGCTGTTGTCCTGTATCTTCAGGAGCAATAAACATTTGATCAGCTTGTGTGCTTGACATATAGGCATGAGAGGAAGGAAACAAGGCCTAATTTACTGGAAGTCCCCTTGAATTCTCCTCAGAAATAATACAATATGGCATTCTTTAGGCCAGGGATAAGGCTTAGCTTTTTCTTGCTTGTTTCTGTTGTAAGTTTGCTTTGCTCAAAGGCCTGTATTTTTTCCACACCTTTGTTTTAAAAATTCCAGCCTTATTTCCTATTCTGCCATTGCACCAGCTTTTTCTCCTGTCTCCTATAAATGATATTTTTCACTGAGGTAGATTAAACTATTCAAATACCTTTACGGTAATGTGCTTCTAAACTACATTCTGTAATAATTACTAAAGATATATATTGTAAAAAATAATTATCCCAGTTTTGATGTGAGAGAGCAAACTGAGACTGCCAGTTGCTGCATGGACAACCTCAGCTGAAAGGCCAACAAAAGCCACCACAGCTGGTTTGGGAAGTTTTGACTGCATGAATGTTAGTCTCTCTTCCAGCAAGATATAAGCTTTTAATCCTCAGGACTTCCAGAGTCAGTGGGCTCCTTTTCCCTTATCATCTTCCCATTTCTACCTGTCTGTGGGTAACATTTGGTAGAGGTGGTACATAAACCCTCTGGCTGCTTTCATCATTCTGTCAAAGGGAGGAAAACAATCAAAGTGCTGCAGCAAGAAAACAAATGGCCAAATAGCTGTTGAAGCAGGAGGTTCCAACTCACTGGAGCTCAGCTTATTACAGGCCATATGCCTGAGTGGCTCCTCTCACTGAGTGCTGCACCCAGATATGGAAACAAGTGTGAAAGTGCCTGTGGTTCATCAGGCCTGGTTTGCTATAACCATATGCAACTACTGAGAGCACAGAAAATAAGAACCTGAAAAGGCTGTGGGGGCTAACAGGAAAGAGAATCCTTGACAAAATATGACATTAATATATAATTTTCCCAAATATTTATGTAAAGATCATAACAGGAATTAATAATTTGGTACTTCAAGCTCACAGTAGATGATCTTGTTTTAGTCCACAGGCTATATCATAAATGATGCAGCTTAATATAGGTGGGGACATAGATGGAAATGCTCTTCTACATTTAAATATCTAGATATTTTTAAATATCATGGGGTTGAATTAATAGTTTTTCTTTCAGATACCATTAGCTCATGCCCTTTCAGCTATGCTCAGTGTTGCAGGGCTTGCTATATAAATGAGGGACTAAGCACATGACTCAAGTCCTGAATGACGGATATTTTACAGAGATGGAATGACAGAACTGCCAGAATAAGGAGAACAGAAAGGGTGGAAGAAGTCTGTTTTTTTACCTGGCATTTCAGTTATGTTTATTTGGCAGAACTCTTTCCAAGAGCACTGAGGTGTCAGGCCCAGCCAACCATTTCAATTTGGTGTTAGAAAGTCTTAAAGGGAAGTGGCCATCAGCAGCCAAGAACTTGTACTAGAGCTGATATATTCCCCATCCTCTCTGTAGATTTCTTATTTCCTCGCAGGAGTTAGTTGCTTAAGGACTTATTCTGGAAGACATGTTCCTGGAAAAGTGGCTTTGCTAATTTGGAGAAAGTATTCTTAGTCAGAATAATTACCAATTCAAAAGGCTTTCCCCAAAGAAGATGGTGCTTCATGTGGCCAGTTGTACAGCTCTGTGGCCTTTTAATCCTCTAGACTGGGGTTATGTCATCTGTCTAGTATCTTTTTGCACACATAATTCACAGTAATGTCATAATTCACTACAGCTACTTCAGTCCCCCCACATTTTGTAAAAAGGACAATGACAAGCTTTATTTCATTTCATTTAATTTATACTCCCCCTCTATGTGAAAGACTTCTATCCTACCTTTGAAACCTTTCACCTTTATTTTCCACTTTGGTGGCTTGTGCCTCCCCTTTTATATTGTCCAATTGAAAGGAGTTTTTTTATGGCTTGAGTGCCTCGCTTAACTTTCCCAGCAGCACATCAAGTAAGCATGCCCTTTATAACTAAAATGAGCTGTACTGACAGCACTGGTCTGCCTCTGGTTTGGTCTGAAACACTCTTACATGAAATGCTAGGAAGGTGTCTAGACAGAGTGCAGAGTAGGCACCACATGCGCACTGTTAGAAGACATTAGTAATCCCTCAGTGTCAGTTGCTGTCCTCATCTGTGTTAGTTCAAAGGGAGAAAAAAAAAGTATGTGGCAGTGTTTTCACCTGCACAGGATGGTTTAAACAGGCTTTATTTTCATGTAGCACTAAGCAAAACTAGATATGCAAAGTTGATTTCTTAGAAATTAAAAATATCATCTTAAAATTTGCCATTCTTTGCTTCTGTGTTGCGTAAAGGTCCATTAATTATGCTGCTGTCTCTGAACATGGTTCCAAAGAACAGGGTGACCACCTTTTTCAATAAAATTGCAGATTTACAATTTTCCAGCTCAGTGAATTGCTGGTATTTAAATATATTGAAAGGCCAATGCCAGACTGTTCTGCCTCCCTGTGCTGCATTTTACTGGGAAGGAGATGCTGGAAGGGTGCATGAGGAGAGAAAGAAAAGGAGCAGAGAAAAAAAAAACATGGCAGGAAGGCAGGCAGATATGATGATAGGAAAAGCCTTTAAAATCAGAAGGAATTAGAATGCCTGGAAGGACCTAAGGATCAGAGGTGAGTGGCCCTTGGTGTCTCCTCAACCCTTCTCTAGTTCCCAAATGAGAGCGATGAACATTACCGGGAGCCCAGACAGGGCAAGGCTGAGATCTCCCCGGAGGTATGGTCTATCACTCTGGCTCTGAGATGAGGACCAAGCTGATCTAACTGCCTTTTGCCACTTTGCCCTGGGAATATCAGAACAAAGCACGAACTCTGCACTGTGCCTCAAATCCAGGTACATGGCCACACAAACATGTTCCTACATTCTGTCAGCTCTCCTTGGCTGGGAAGGGAAAGATGAGTCCATGCAGGTTTTTCTTGTAGTTGTTTGCAATTGAAAATTTGTTTTATCCATCTGCAAAATTGTACATTCTTTTGGCAATAGGGAAGGCAGGAAGAAAAAACTAGTAGGAAAAAAGGTAAAGTGACTGAAGAAAAATATTAATGTTTATCTATCGAAAAATTATCAGAAGGTAAAGGGATGGGGGTTAGTAACTAAGGCAAAGCTGGGTTCTATACTTTTGTGCCTGTGGCTTGTGTTCGTATGTTGTGACATACAGCTAAGGAAAATCTTGTGTTTGCCTTACCTGAGTATGACAAACAGCCTTTCTTACAGACACAAAATAATAAAATATCCAGCACATAAAGCTCACCATCTCCTCTCATTGTTTATGGAAACAGTAATGCTCCTGAGGGCACTTGAGTACTGCTGGCATTGGACATCACTGGTGGAGGAAACAGCATGGCAATCTTCTGCTAACAGCTTAGCTGAATCCCAGGAAACTGATTGAGAGGTGAGAAACGAGTTTGCGTACATGGATCATCTGTTGAAAGCAGTGCTAAATTGTGCCTGATTTTAGACATGGATGGACCAGTACAGGACTGTCCGTATTGCCTGGTTGTGCTCAGAGGAGTGGCCTGGCTGTGCCCAGCACGAACACCTTGCCACAAAGTCTCTCCAACCTGAGAGAGAGACTGCAGAGACAGAAGAGAGTCCCAAGGACCTTTAAATATTGGCTCCTTGATTTTCCTCTATGCTCTGTTTTTGAAACTAAGCTACTGTGATAACAGCCAGGAGAGTTTTTAGTCTCTCCTCCTTTGTAGGGTTTTACTGTAAATTCACCCTGGTTTCCAGATTGCACACACAGAATTCTGCTGTGTGTGAGGTTGAAAGAGGAGACTCAATTTCTCTGTGGTGGAGGTTTGCAAGGGCTTCTTCCTACTGCTAAAACACCATCCTTCTCTTTCCCCTCTTCCCATTGTCCTTCTTTTTCCTAATATGCCACATTGCATAGACAGAGGTCTGTTCACACCTGTGCCCTGTATTACTGGACAAAGATTTATTTTTGGTTACCTTTTGTATGGCACTTGGATGACCTGGAAGCAAATCTCACTTGGAGTGCAAGCTTTCTATGAGTTTGGCATGTAGGGTGGAATTTATGTGAGGGTAACCTCCCCACAGATGATTCTACTGTGTATCAGAGACTGTCACATCTGTCTCCTTCCCAAAGCCAGAAATTAAGAGAAGGAAATATGTCGAGAGCACAGTGCATTAGACTTACTTCGTTCCTGCTTTAGGATGAGATAAATATCTCTCTGAGGGAACTGTTTCTTTTTGGACACCTCAGGGAAGCCGTATTTGTTGTAGGCATCTCCGTCATGGATAGCTTCCTTTAGCCAAATAAATTGTACTGCAGCCACTCCTGTCTTAAAGTTTACCCTTTGTAATCCAAGGTGGCACAGACATTTTCCTTTTGCAGAGATGCTGAGAAACTTAAATGAAGTAATGCTTGCATGGCATCTACATGGGGAGGTGAGAGCAGTATGCTAATGGTTACTAAACCTTGAGCATGATGAGCTGCCCTCCAAAGGCTGTCAGAGAGGAGTTCCTCTGGCAGTGGCGCCTCTGTCCATGAGGAACACAGGGGGTTGCCTCCATTGACTCATTTTTATCATGAATTGTGGATAACGTGCAGGTGATAAAGTAGATGCTTTGTTGCAGGAAAGGCAACACTGAACCCTCAGCCTGTACAGATGCTGAAGTTCCTCAAGAGAAGTCACAGTCATACATTAACAGAAAGTAAAGATACTGTGAAAATATTGTCAAGGGAGACAATGGAAAGAGAGCTTGATGTAAAATGTCTTTTTAATTCCTTTTTATTTAAATTCCTTTACTTGGTTTGCATTTCTCTCTATCACACACGCACAAAAAAAAATCTAGGATTCAAGAAAAACTGTAGTTATTTTCAGTCTGTATGGTAAGAGAGAGGTTAAGTTTTGCCAAAAAGCAATGGGTTTACTGAAACCCTTTAAAAAAACCCCAAATATTTCTTGTCTAAGTACAAGGAAGTGGCACTGAAATATATATTTTTTCACATGTCACTTTAGGAAATTCATTTTACTGCTTGCTTTAGCAAGATCAGGAGTTCATCCAAATTACTGATCATGTGTCAGTTTAAATATTATATTTTTCTCCAGAACTTTGTTCATGAAAGTCATTCTGTTGACCATATTCTTCATTATTAAGATCCTAGTCTTACTTTTTCCTAATCTTTGAAATTTTTAATCTGTCACAATTCTATGTTACCACTTTCTTGATCCAAACATGGCAGTAAATAGTTGTTTACAAGGCACAAAAATGTATCACAATAATTAAGGCAAGGCTGGGTCTCTGCTGGTGTTTGCTTACATTGCTGTGGAAGAATATGCATACTTACTATGAAAACTCATTTTCAGAAAAAGATAATTGTTTGCAGATTAAAATCAAATTTGTTTCTCCAACATACTTTAGTGCATTTGCTAAAATCTCTAACAGTATGTTCTCCTGTATCGCCCAGGTGGATCTGAAAGAGTGCTTTCCCTCTTGGCCTCTCACAGGCACACACATATACATGTGCACACATGCACAAACACACACCAGGGCAAGTGCAGAGAAAGTTCATTGGGCATTTCAGTATGTGTTAGGCCCCACAATTCAAAGCTGTTTTTTGTGTAAGGGGATTAGGACTTTGACTGACTTTCTATGGCATATGGAGAATGAAAAGTACAATAAAGCATGCTAAAGACTAGAGACCAGATAAAATCAGCAGCTAATTGCTATGTACACTGTACTGCTGCAAATGAAACACAGCAAGAGACTTGAACAGATTCTATTATATAGGATTATAGCAATGGTCTGAGAACAAAGCTAGAAATTCAGAGAAAAACAACCTAGAAATTCCAAAATAACAAAACAAACAGTTGGAAGCCCTATGGTGTTTTTAACCATTTTGTAGCTGGAAGGGTCTTCGTACAATTATTTTCCATGACAGTGTTGTATCTCCCTCAGGTTGGAAAGAACAACTCTTTGCTGCTTTCATAACCCAGACTAGCAGCAGTGATGTTTATGTTCTGCAGGATCCTACACTTTTTCTCATAGCTACTCTGCATTGCAAGAGTGAGAGGTGAACAGGAGCTGAATCTGGGCACTGGTGTTCAGCAGACTATGGGGCATAAAGAGGCTCCTCATGCTTTGTCTGTGCTCACAGCATTAAAACATCACCTCTATTATGTTTTGCTGTACCTGTGGGGTGCTCTTCTTCCCTCCTCACCAGGCAGCAGGGGAAGCAATGGTGCTGGTGACTTCTGAGCTGCACACAACCCAGTGCTCCAGAGCTGTCCCCATCCTTCTTTCAGAGAGGCTGCCCTAAGACACCCGTTCAAGCTTCACACAATCTGCAGGAGCCACTCCTCAAACTTTTGGACATTGAGTGCCTTCCAAATGTCCAAATGGGGCTTCATCCTGCTCAGTTAAAGAGGGTATATTGTTTTATTTAAATTATGTGTAAGGTCCTGTTGTAATATGATTTTTTTGTGGAGATGAGATGTATATGTCCTTGGGTAAAAGGTAGAATATCACTGGGCAATGACATAAGCACACAAAGAAATTAAAGCAATACCAATTTCCTTTATGTTTGCATAACAGAGTGGGCCAAGTCTTCTTATATGGGAAGACAGTAGAGAAGTTATTCAAATGAATTTCAGATAAACAACTCCTGTATGACTATTTAAGACTCATTAATATTGAAGATGGATGGTTGTCAAAGACAGACACCATTATTTTCCATTTTGTTAAATATACAATTTACAATAATGCTAGTCTTTAAGGTGTTGTATAGTTTGGGTTTTTTTTCCCTGTCGTTGATAAAGGCTATTTGTCAAAAATGTGGCTATTACGCCATTTTCAGTCCCTCATCTACCTTGCACATATGACAAAACATAATGAGTTTTCGAACTGGAAAATCATTTAGCATCCTAAAAATTATCTCTAGGTTGCTTTGAAGAATTCATCCACCTGTTGTCCTAAAGCTTTACTAAGATATGTGTATTGCTTCTGACATGTTGTATATTATAGTGTCTTATTCAGAAATAGATATAGAATATCAAAGGGATAAATAGCTTTTCTGTTTGGAAGAGAACTTTTCTATTGAAAATATTTTTACCCCACTAAAAATAGAAAATAGACTAATTGAACAAAACAGCTTTTAAAGCTGTAAGTTCAAGAGTTTACAGCATAAAATGTAACAAATTTTTGTTTCGTCTCCTAAGCTGTTGGCACTGCACATTCCTTTTACACAATGTGGCCTCATGCAGCCTCAGCCCACAGCCTTTCCTGGTTCAGACTCTGCAGCAAGGCTTTGAACAAAAAGTGTGTTCCTCTAAGTGTGCTGGTGAGCACCCATGGTGGCTGAGTGCTCAGGTCCCTCACCAGGAAGAACTCATGCTGGTTTTCTGCAAAAATGCTCCAGAACATACAGTTGGTCACTTTTCCTGCAGGGAGAATATTCATACAGTGAAATGCCATTCAAGGCAACTACGGATGGCAGAAGTACCAGTCAGTGAGGCACAACAGCCCACAAGCTGATATATCATTGTATACAGCATACAGGAGCAACATGTGATACTAATTCCCCAAAAGGCTTTGGAGTAATTGATGCTACTTCAGAAATATATTTAGGGCAACCAAGGTTTGAATCTGCCTCCAGTTTGGTGAGAAAGCAGCAGCTGGTTTCAGACTCAGTGGATGGCAATGGAAGTTTCCTCCAGGAATCAAATTTATCACTTATTTATATTTATAGAATAGATACAATTATATATATGTAGAGTAACATAAAGTAGTAAATTACGTTTCCAGGCTCCAGGGATATATTTTTACAAGAATTGAACATATATGAACAAAAAATATGAGCCTCGTTTGGTTCTTTTGTTTTCTCCCCAGTACAAATGTGACACTGTGCAAGCAGCTCTACAAGTTAAATTTTGTGTCTCTCTGGAGTAAGAAGACAATTTCTTAGTGTTGCAGCTGAGTGTTATGCAGACAGGGTGGCTGTAAAAATCTTCAGTGATTTGTGTTAGTCACAGAAGTAATAACTTTATTACTGGAACAGAGGCAGATCGCTGATGTTTTGAGGTAATGCTTTTTTGCTCTTCATATTTATTGTAATATCAGACAAGGTTTTACTGGTGTCACACAGACATTTGGTATTAACATGAAAAAGGGTTTGGTCTTCTTGAGAGATTCTGAGTTAGATAATTTGAATATCTATTTTTTATTTTATTTTTATTGGATCTTATAAAATATTTCCTTATAATTGTTAACACACATCATTTTAGCATGTTGATTATGATATCTTCTCCTTTTTACCACACTGAACCTTTTTTCTTTTTTTTGGTAGGGTTTTATATTTATTTGTTCTCTTTCACCAGGTAGGTTATACCTATGCTTGCATTTCTTCTTTTTAATTTTGTTTTCATGCTGCTAAGCAGAGCTAGTAATTTGAATGAACTCTTACTGCATTTTCAGGAAGAACTGACTGAGCCCAGCACAAGTGATCTGTAAAGCCAGAAGAAGCCTTCTCCACTTGGATGATCACATGTTCATGTACCCCCACACTCACAAAATGGAAAACTGGTGAAAATGGAGAAGAGGATCATGATAGTCTGAGTAGACAATTCAGATATTTCATAGCAGTCCCCTGGATAAAGGCTGTAAAGTGGAGCCATGCCAAGTCAAGAGACCTAAAGTTTTTTACAAGAACTCTTATATCAACACTCATGTCCCTTAGTTTTAACCTGCTGGAGTTATGTATAATTAATGTAGAGGTTGAGAAAGTCATCTGACATCAGCATAAAGAAAATGTTAAGCTTTCTCAGTTCCTAGCGCATGATTTTTAAGACATTTTAATCCCCTCCCTTTTAAGTGTGGATTTACTGGGGAGGTCAAGGGGTCATTAACACTTCCCCTGCTCCTCTACCTTTAACAGGCAAACTCATCAAGGACTGGTGTTAGATAGTATTATTTCATTAATGTACATACCTGTACTTGGGTTTTTTCCTTCAGCCAAGTCCTCGTCATCCTATTTCTTTAACAGTATTTGAAGTTTAGAAATTATCTTTCATTTAAATATTGTCAGCTCAAAACAGACCTTACTGTTTTTAGATGTTGCAGATGTTCTGGGAGGAAGAAAGGAGGTTTGCCCAAAATTGTTTTGCTTGCTATAGCAAGGACCAGAGCCACAATGGAGAAGATGTTCCACCCTGTTGCACCAATGACTGTACATCGCTCTTTGGGTAGTAGAGAGGGGCAAGATCTTCACTAGGAAGCCTCTTGCTGGAGATGGACAAAATAGATGAAATTAAAATGGGATAACTGGCACTCTATCAAATGTGGTAAAGCAAGGATAATTCCTCTGCCTGCTGTAGAGGCAGGCTGATACCTGCCTACATATCTCTTTTTGAAAGTCACTCAAGGATACACTGTTTTATACAGCCAAATACTCCTCGATATGTAAATTTATTTAGTCAGTGTCATTTTATGGTTATGTACACAAAGGCAAAAGAACATGACATCACTAAGTGCACCCTCAGACACCAAGTAGAATAGTATGGCTGACACACCTGAAGGAAGGGGTGCTATCCAGAGGAACCTGGACAAGTGCAGAAAGTGGTTGCATGGGAATCTCATTAGATTTAAGAAGACCAAGTGCATGGTACTGCACCTGGATCAGGGCAACCTGTACTCTCAATACAGACTGGGGATGAACAGATCAAGAGCCGGCCAAGAAGGGCTTGGGGGTGCTGGTTGATTAGATGCTGGACAAGGAAAGTGTGCACTTCCAGCCCAGAAAACCAATCATACCCTGGGCTGCATCCAAAGCAGGGAGGGGATTTTGCCTCTCTGCTCTGCTCTCATGAGACCCCATCTGCAGTTCTGCACCCAGCTTTGGGGCCCTTAGGACAGGACACATCAACTTGTTGGAGTGAGTCCAGAAGAGGGCCACTAAGAAGATTAGAGGAAAGGAGTACCTCTCCTGTGAGGAAAGAGGAAAAGAATTTGGACTATTCAGCCTGGAGAAGAGAAGACTGCAGGAAGACCTATCTGTGGCCTTCCAGTACCTGAAGGGAGACCACAAGACTGGTGGAATGGGATTGTTTACAAGAGCATGACAGGACAAGGGAGAATGGCTTTAAACTGACAGAGAGTAGGTTTAGATCAAAAGAAGTTGTGTAAGGGTGGTGAGGCACCAAAGGTGAGGTGTCTTAGGTTGCAAATGCAAGATGTGGCTGGGGGTGTGTATTCTATTGCCACCTGTTGCAACCAGGTGGGGCAGTTTTCTTTATCTCTTCCACAACCCACACACTCTAGGAGATATCTTCTGTTATTGGGCCATTGAGTGTCACTGCATGACTGATAAAATGACATCATCCCATTGTGAGATGCTCTGCCCAGCAGAGGAGCCAAGCATTCCTACCTAGATATAATCTGAGATTTGAAAGTCAACCTTTTCCCACTGGATTCCCAGAGAAGCAGCCTTTTTGCCAGTGGATTCCCAGAAGAAGACCAGGCCCATCTACACCACCACTAGACCTTCAGAAGAAAACTACACTCTTCTACAATTTCATTGTTTCAACAGAACCACATCTGTCACTCCAGGAGGACGGCAGCCACCATTCAGTCAGACTGCTACCCACACCCTAACCAACAGGGTGTCAGGCTGTATTCTGACTCTGTCATTGTTGTTTCTTATTTCTGCATTTTTATTTTTACTTTTAAGTTTCCTGATAAAGAACTGCTATTCTTACTCCCACATCTTTGCCTAAGAGCCCTTTAATTTCAAAATTATAATAATTCAGAGGGAGGGTGTTTACATTTTCCATTTCAAGAGAAGTTCCTGCCTTCCTTAGCAGACACCTGTCTTTTCAAACCAAGACAACAGATTTCCCAGAGAGATTTTTAATGTCTCAGGAAGTGTTCAAGGCCAGGCTGGATGGGGCTTTAAGCAATCTGGTCTAGTGAAAGGTGTCCCTGCCCATGACAGGAGGGTTGGAGCGGGATGATTGTTAAGGTCTCTTCCAACCCAAACCATTCTATGATTCCATGATATTATGACAGGGAGCCTATTCAAGCTAGTAAAATGTTTTCTGTGTGTCTGTTCTTTACTGTTTTCTTAATGGTAAGCTTGTTTTTCTTCTAAATGGAAGAAATGAGTTTCAGAGGCTACCTGGGTATTTTGGATCACTTGCTCTCTAGAAATACAAAAAAATACCTAAAACACAACCCATGTACACTGAATATATGAAGTCAGAAAGGAACTGACTCCTGTTAAGTACGCTAATGCAATAGAAACTGAAATTATGACCATATGATATGTAGTGAATGCAAGCTATATAGAAGAAAATGGCACATCACCTCAACATTAATTACTTAATGACACAAAGCCGATTATATAAAAACTGCTGTAGGCAGTAAAAGTTGAGTATAGTTAGGCTAGTGTAACACTCTGAACTCCAAATATCTATTTGGCATTCTGCCTAAGGTTGTATTCTTTTTTTTTTCTCCTTTCTTGAGATGGTTTCTTTTTCATTCTTGTTTTTTGCTTCCTTCAGAGTGTCTTGGTTTTTTGGTTTTCTCCAGCCTAACCCTCCTGTGACAGACAATGATAGAAAAACTGCAGTTTGCTGCTATTTTACTCTGCTTTACTTAGCCTCTTAAAGTTGCTTAGTTGCTTTAGAGACATTCACGTTCTGATATGTGAGGACAAGATGTCATGGGGACATAGTACAATAGTAAACCCAGGCTTTGATCTATTGCTAGAAATGGATGTGGGAAGAGAGAAAAAGATCTATATTTATCTCTCTCTCTATATATATATATATATATATAGCTAGATACAGATAGATAGATAGATAGATATGACTATTTAGAGCAGTAAACAGAAGTTACTGTGATACCACAGCTCAAAGAAAATGGGTCAGGTGAAACCTACTAAAGTCTTCCTCTGACTCAGGCAAACTAGCTACCAGCCTAGTTTAGTAGTATACATAGGTTAAAACTTTCTGTGTGATCATTATTTTAATCCAAAACCAGGGTTACCAGACTTTCCATGTAGCTACACGCCATTGTCACATGATCTCAGCTGCATGACTTTCTCAGTGAGGGCTTGGTTCTTCTCATCCCCAACTGCCCTGTTTGGAGAAAAGCTGAGGAAATCACTGGTAATTTGCTGAGCTGTTTTGGCCATGATTTGCAGGGAGCCTATCACCTGCTGACATATGCATGTTATTCATCTCATACTGAAATCCCTCACGCAAGTCTCTTATTCACAAAAAAGGTGTTGGAGGCAAAAAAGGAATACATTATTTTTCCCTTCTAGATATCTTTTAAATGTGGCCTTTTGTCTCCTGCTCAGGTTTATTTATATACTTTGGCACATCAGACAAGTGACTGGCAATGTTAAATACTGTGATTTGAATTAGTGGTTTGTGTAGCGTCCAAATAATCTGAATAAAGTCCATTACAAAAATGCTGGAAATTGACATTACATCTATGTTGATGCACATTTCAGTTGCCAAAAAAAGAGCAGTTTGGCTGGAGGATCCAACAAAATCTGCTTAGTGGGTCTTCCTTGGCGGGAGCCCACAAACAGATTGCTTTCATACACTACTCCCTTAATCACTGTAAAGAGGTTTCAGAGAGATTAATAATAACTAGTGCAGTTGTTACACCCACGTACAGTGACTCAGACACACGGCCCAGGGAGAGTCTTTACCTGTGTGGGCCACACAGACACATGCCAATATTTAGTCCAATAAAGTTGTCTTTCCAGCAGAATGAATGATTGTCTTGGAGGTAGATGATGACAGGGCTGTCAAACAAGTCCCTATACTGCGACACAGCCCAATATATAACAGCATCTCACTAGAGCCACATTAAAAGCTGCAGTGAAATCCTCTCACTCTCTCTCCCTTTCTCCCTCCAATATCAGCAACACTGATTAAAACAAAATAATATCTAGTCCCAGCGTCATGCTGTGCTGCAGTGAGAGGACTCTAAGAGTAATGAGGGCCCATTTAGTTTAAATGAATTTTTGGCCAGTGTTTCTGAGCTCAGGGCTGAGGCAGCTGGCTCTTAGTCAGATGCAATGCAGGCAGGAGGTGATCACACAGGGCTGTGGCAGCGGGGGATGGTGGAGGAGTTCTGAGCTGCTGCTGCTCCTCAAGCTAAATATGTGGATAGCCTTGGTGCTACTGACTGAGCTGGCCACAGCAGACACCCATCCATGGTTTTGTCTCTTTTGGACCTGTTATTTAGCTTAAATTTTGTGGGGTTTATGTAATCTCATCCCCTATTTCTGACATAAAAGAGCAGCAATTGTGATTTGATTAACCTCCCTGGGAAAGGGAGTGCTCAGGAATACTCTATCCAAGTCTTTAGTCAGCTACAGATTAGCAGAGAATAATAATTCAGTGGCCATTACAGAGCAAGTTCCATGTAGCAACCCAAGTTAAATAATTATGGATTGCCTCCGGCTTGCAGCTCATTTGATAGCAAAGCTCCTATTGACTTCAATGGCGTGGGAGATTGTGGAAGCCTTGGCAGGAGTAAGTCAACCATAACATTATCTATGAAAATAAAAGCCTTCCAACAAGAGAAATAGAGATAAACTGAGGACAATTAGGAAGTATTTGAGCTCTCATTCCTACCTGCAATATGGTAGGAAGTCAGGCTCTAAATTAATTAATTTTGTGGTCAAAAAGACATAAGACAACAAGCCACTTTGGAGAGGAAGAAAAAAAACCATATCCTGTTTGGCTAACTCGTTCTCCTTCTATGAGAATGTAATCCACTTGGATGAGGAAAAGACTTGTGGCTGTTGTTTACCTGGACTTTAGTAAAGCTTTTGCCACTGTTTCCCACACTATTCTCCCAGAAAAGCTGGCTGCTCATAGCTGAGATGGGGTAAAAACCTGTCTGGATGGCCTGAGCTAGAGAATTATGGTGAATGTACTTAAATACAGATGGTCACTGGTGGTGTTTCCTAGGACTCTGTTCTGGAGCCATTACTGTTTAATGGTTTTATCCATTATTTGGGTGAGGGGATCAGGTGCGCCCCCAGTCAATTTGCAGATGACACTAAGAGTGTTGATCTGCTGGAGGGCAGAGAGGCTGGATCAGTGGGCCAAAGCCAATTGTATGAAGTCCAACAAGATGAGGCACTTGGGTCACAGCAACGCTGTGCAGCAATACAGGCTTAGGGAAGAGTGGCTGGAAAGTTGCCTGGCTGAAAGGGACCTGGAGGAGCTGATTGACAGCCACTGACTGTAAGCCAGAAGGTGTTCAGGTGGCCAAGAAAGCCAATGGCATCCTGGCTCATATCAAGAACAGTGTGGAAAGCAGGACCAGGGCAGTGATCATCCCCCTCCACTCAGCACTGATGAGGCCACACCTTGAATTCGGTATTCCTTATTCAGTTTTGTATGCCTCATTCATTTCTTGAATGAGGTGCTGGAGTGAGTCTAGAGGAGGGCAGTATAGCTGGAGAACCATCTGGATCACAGTTTTTATCAGGTGTGGCTGAGGAATCTAGGGTTGCTTAGCCTGAAGAAAAGAAGGTTTATGGAACTCTTACCAAACCATGCAGTTGCCTGAAGGGAGGCTGAAGGGAGGCTGTAGTCAGCTGGAGGCCAATCTCTGCTGCCAAGTGACAAATGCAAGGATGAGAAGAAATAGCCTCAAGTTGCACCGGGCGAGATTTAGATTTGGTATTAGGAAAAAAAAACTTCACTGAAATGGTTGTCAAGCAGTGGAACAGCCTGCCCTAGGAAGTGGTTGATTCACCATTCCTGGAGGTATTTAAAAGACATGTAGGTGTGTTCTTTGGTTTAGTGAAAGATTTGACTGTGTTACATTTGTGGTTGGACTCAATGTTATCAAAGGTCTTTTTTAACCTAAATTATTCTATTATCCTCTTTGATGAAAAGCAGGAGAAACTCCTTTTCTGACCTTCAATGTCTCCCTGTGGAGAAGGGGCACAGAATTTATTTGGGGCAGTCTGGCTTACCTAAGATTTTCTTTTCAAGTTGTTTCTCTAACCCCTCCACCCAGGCCAAATCACACAGAGAAAATGACAGGACTATGGAGAGGGGCAAATTCACAGCAAAGTGTGAAGTACAATGTGAAACTGAAAAAAAGGTTTGGTTTTCTTGTTTTAAGAGAGGAAGTCAAATAGAGATTGAAATTTAACTTATGTTTAAAGTTTTTGTCCTTTTGGAAACCTGAAGAAAAGCACAAAGAGCTTCAATAGTCATAAAAACTTTTGGACCAGAAATCACATAAATAAATTTCTGCATCCCAAAGTTGTATTAGTTTCCTCCCATAATTTTTGCTACGAAATAGGCTGCTTCTTTAAATTCATCATGTTCAGCACTGTCAGCTAATCAGTTTAGTTACAGACTGGTTGGATAAGCGCAGTGTTTCAATAGACAACCCCCTAAATGGATCTTTAGACCCTCAAATAAATTAGAAACTCCCATATTATTTTAAATTCCTGGCTATTTGCCAGAAAAGTAGCATGCAATACATATGATAAAGTGTGAAGGTGTCTGTATTTATGAAACATGAGTGTGGGAAAATAGAACTGATTTTTTGTTTTTGTTTTTTTTTTTTTTTTCAAATTTTTATATTTTTATTGAAATTGGCAGCTTCAATTAATTTACTTAATTTAATTAATTTGACTTAGGTGCAAGCCACATGTACTTTAGAATTGTGTATGTTGTTTGTCTTGCTTGTTTTGCATAATCTGTCAAAAGCTACATTGCAGAGGGCCCCAAAGATCCTCTGTGGCATAAATGGCTTGATGTGCCATGTACAGATATGTACAGAAGCCTCTCTTCAACCAAAGTAGCTTTTAATGCATTGTCAAGACTTTCCAACTCAACAGGAAGAGTTCGTAAAATAAGAAAGAAATAAACAGGCTCAGCCTATAGACATGTTTTAATACAGCAGGAAAAAAAACCCCAAATAAATTGGTAAAAAGGTCAGAAAGATGAAGGGAACAGGGAGGAATGGAGAAAGGACTGACATGATCAATAGTTTGCCAAAGGAAGCACTGCTGCTATGAGGCCTGCACTCAGTTATGAGATAAGAGAGAATGATAGACCTACACCACTAGAAGTCACACAAGGTCAGGAAAAAACCCACAGAGAGTGTGGGCTGTCCAGTGCACCATGTGGAATAACAGTGATAAGATTGTTTAATGGTAACACAACTATAGAAAATGTATAGCTTAGAAGTCACTGTTTAAAATTGTTATGGGGGTTAATTTTTTTCCCCTGCATTCATTTATAGCCTTTCTTTTTAAGTAAAAACCTCTCTGATAAACACTGGGAGAATAATTTCAAAATACATAACATATTTGGACATGGTTACTTAATAGATTTATAGTTACCAGAAAATTTAGTTACTAAATGTCCAGCAGTAAAAATTTAAATAGTTAACTTGGACATGTAGTCAATTTCTTTCCTATCCACAAATCTCCTTATTTTTAATTTTAACTTACTCTGAGTATAATTTCCAAAAACTGTTGGTTGTTTGTGAGCATCTTTTTGTAGGTTTTAAAAAAAACAAAACAAAACAAAACAAAACAAAAAACCCCAAAAAACCCTCAATCAAATCAGTTTGGATTTCATGTGTTATTCACATGGTATTTTGGTATTTCTGTGACACTGCTGAATAATTATGTGTCTGTGAAAGTGTTTGGTAAAAATTTAAAGGATTCCAAATCTGCTAAAAAAATATTGACTGTTCTGAAGTACATTCTTGACAGTAAATTTTTTCTGCCAGAATATTTATAGGAAGCAAACATAAAATGGACAGAAACACTGTCAATAAGAGAAATGAAAAAAACTTTCCCAGTTCTTTTCAGACAACAGCAATAGTTCATTATCTTATTCTTCCAACTGGTTAAAAATTTTTATTCTAGTTGTTTTTTGAGGGCATAAACCAAAGCCACCTTTGCAAATCACTATAGTGCTTAATTGGGATGTTTTTTCTTAAAATTTTTCCTCTGTGCAGAGGAAAGCAGAGAGGGAAGTTTCCACTTGGTCCCTCCTTGCCACACCTAGCAGAAATTCATAGAGGTTTTCAATATTTTTTATGTGTTCCCCTGTCCCTTCCCCTGCACCAGAGTGTGAAGTGTCTGCATATGATATCATTACTGGGGATGAGCTTCTACTGAATGCAATAATGTGAGCAAAATGGCCTTTTCAGCACCTGCTGTGCCAACTGCAAAGGCTGCTTCCCTTCATGGCCTGCTGGTGCTGTGGTTCCTCATTGCGGGCATGGTGACATGGAGAGCTGTGTGACAGACACATCTGTCTGCCACTGACTGAGAGGAGCCTCTGGACCTCTGTAGCAGTACAAATCTGTGAGTGGAATTGTGCCTGACTGTGTGAGGGGAACCTCCCATGACAATAGTGGGAATGGGAAGGGGCAGTGTATCCATACCCAGCCTGGCCTACTTTTTCTGAAACCAAAAATAAAACTGTCAGAATATGAGATATTGATGATTCTGAGATTGTAGAAAGTCTCTGTCTTTCAGCCCCACTGCCAAAGAAGAAGCCATAATTCATCTGTGCTGGTTTCAAGGTTGTTTATTCTTGCTCATCTCTAACATGTTCTGCTGCCCTGCCGCAGGTCTGTCCTGCAGGGCAGCGTGTGGGTCTCTGCCCTCAGTGGGATGTTACAAACATTATATACCAGAAACTACCTGTGCTGTATTTACAATAATGTGCCAATATCTGTCACCTACGTTGAACAGTGTGTCCCCAGCCTAAACCAATAGAAAAATGCCAACACTACAGTGAAACATGGAGGGCATGAAGAAGGAGAAAAAGGACAAGACACACCCAATTTCCTCTATCTTGTCCCCTTTGGACCCCTAATCTAGAATCCTAAAATTTACTTTTGCACCCGTGGCACACTTAATTATTACTCATATCAAACACTCAGAGCTTGTAATTCACCCTGTAAGATTGAAAACTCTTTTCCATGGGCAGAGATCAGAGACAGTGTCTCTGGAGGCTCTGTACAGGCGGTTCCTGACCCCCTGCCAGGGTTCCAGGCCTTCCAGAGCAGCCAGAGGGAAGCTCTGGATTCCCATGTAAAACTACATAACTACATACAGGTTCTGTTGTCACTCCCAGACTGCCTTCTCTCTTTGAGAGTTAATAGTATGTGTAACCCTTTGTAGCAAATGCTGTAGTGGGAATTAATGCTTTGGAGAGTCCACACAATGCTGGAGGTCAGAGAGTCAAAGATACACTTCTGTTTATCCCCTTGCAGTAAGGCAGGATTTAAATGCTCATTCTGAGATTCTCCCTTGCAGCCTCCCTTGACCCAGTCTGGAGTTAGCTGTGACTAATTAAAAGAGAATAAATATGTCAGTGGTGACCCCAGGGATAACACAGAAACAGGTCTTAATTTCCAGTTTTCAGATGTTGAACTGTGATGAAATGGCAACAGTGATACAGTGCTTCACAGTCCTATTAATTCTACTTTATACAGCTAGTGTACAAAATCTGATGGAATGAATGACCTTGACTGTACTTCCCTTCACTCCCTAGATATAGCCCAATATATCCTAATTGGGACAGATACCACTGGCACCTCAAACAAATGTTATTTGTCCAATCATAATTTTTTTTAGCGTCACAGCATATCTGCTGCTCTTATGTGCTCTTGCTGTGACCAGTCCTTCAATTTTCTGGAGGAATCATCAGCTACTAGTCCTTAATTTTCAAAATTGCATGCATTCCTGTATCAGGAACTTACACAGAAGAAATTGTGAGGACAGTACCACGTTTGGTCTGTGAGGAGACACCGTATCAGAATTTGCCATACTAGCAGGCACCATGATTTAGAAATCAAGAGGCAAAGCACCAAAGTGAAGCCATCATCAGCTAGCCTGGCTGAGCATATAAACCAGTGAACAAGGCTGCCAAGCTGAAGGAGCACAGAACCCTAAACCTGCCTTCAAAAACAACACAAGGTGCGAACTTCAGGCTTGTCAATCTGTGCCACTGTCCAATACTACAATGAATAAATCATTATGCTAGAAATTAAACTCAGCTTTTAGCTTGCCTGGGATGGTGCCAGCCTATGTCTGAAGCATGCCTGAGGGGACGGCAAGCCGCAGGATGGTGAACTGAGCAATTCATGACAACTTGTGCTGCTGCCACCCTCAGCCATCCTAAGCGGGTCAACGATACAGAGTATGTTCAGAGAGGAGACTGAGACAGAAAAATAACTCAGAAGTGTATCTTTCTCTTTGCTGAGATTTCCCCTCTGCCCGGTTCCTGGGAACATGCCACGCATTTTGTAGATAATAGGTGGCAGGGAAAATGTCATGGCCCACTCCCTATCCTTCATTGTGTATTTGCCCACATTTGTTCATTTGCCCCTTCTCTATCTCCTCTTGTCTAGGGGGCTTTTCTCATGGCATCAGCTGCTTTGACTCAGTTACTTTTTATAACCTATACAGCTTGTTTTTTTGGGTTTTTTGGTTTTTTTTTAAGATGAGGATGGGGTTATTTCTACACCATGTCTGGATTTGAGAAGCTATTTGTAAAAGAAGGGAGGGTTGAACTCACACACAGGTGAACTGAGACCCCAGTGCACATGAGGGCATAATGTGGGCTTCTTATTTATGGGAGCACAGATGAAGGGGAGAGAACTCTGAAGTCATTGGTTGACTAAATAAATAATCTGTGCCTATTATATGCCTTCAAGCCTTCCAAAGGAGCTACATAAAGTGCCACATAAAATGTCATTGGATTTAAATCCCTGGAGATTAGTCAGTTGCCAAACATCATGATAACAAATCAACTCTGATATCTAAAGCACATAATCTAAAGAAACTGACCATCCCACTGAACTGCACAGGATCATGCAAAACTACATATAGATGAGCTGAGTTCAGAAGTTTAGTCCATTGGGCACTATTTTCTCACCTACACAAAGCACTTTCTGTCCTCCCCTCATTCCTACTATACTGAAAAGGGGCTTGTGTGTTGAGATTTTCAGGCAAAATTTTTCTGCCAGTTCTGCTGGTGTCACTGGAGTGACGAGTTATTAAAGCAGTATAGCTGTCTGTAAAATTCAGCACAGAGAAAATACACGTACTGGCCCATGTACTGCTTTTCAAAAAACCCAAAACAACCAAACAAAAAATAAATTAAAAAAAAAAATCCACCAGCAGGGTTAGGACGTAATGAAACTTAAATCTTTTATTTCTGACAGAATGATTTGTTTGTAAGCACAATGTTTCCAACATGTGACTTTAGAAAGGTGTTACATGATTTTAAGGAAATCAACCTCCTTCTGCTTCCTTTCTATGGAAACATGAACTTACTGAAATTGTTGCACTTTTAAAGCATAAATCATTGTGAAAAATAAACTCATAAGAAACATATTTGTTATCTACATTCAGGCTTTTATTATTTCCAGTCTAATATTCTGCTAATGACTAATCAGTCTGATAACTTTTAGGGATAGAATTTGCTATTTTGGGCTATTTCCCTAGATGAAAGTTATTTCTATAGAAGTTATTCTTAGAAGCATTTATGGAAGAAAGGGAGCAAGTGAAGCACCAGTAGAGGAGTGACTCACCACAGCACTACTAATTGCTAACCAAAAAATAAAGTCTTTTGCTTTGTGAATCAGAAAATCAGCTGCATTTAAAAAAACCCCAAAAATGCTATATATTTGAGAACCAAACACTGCCTGTGATCTTTTGATATTAAAACTATATGGGATGGGTGCACAACCAAAAACAGTGACTGACAAATATCTGAAATTAATCCTTTCAAGATCTATATCTCTCCACATCATTTACCTGCCAACCCAATTTCCCATCGCTCTTGCTTCTTTCTTTATCATCCCTGCAACATCTGTTTGCCTTTGATTTTTTCATCTTCTGTTGTTCTCCATCTTAAGTAAAAGGCAGCTAAAGGTACTGCTAGCAGCCTGCAAAAATTTCAATTTCTAGGTATCTGGCTAGGATCCAGGCAGGTCAGTGGCATCTGAAAGTGATCACCACCTCATGCCTGCTTGCTGACCTCAGTGACATTTATTGTGAACTGGCCACAGCAGTAATCTCAGCAGGAATCACCCACTTTTTGCTGCAATCAAGCCATCATCTCCCCTGCAGAGTCCAGATTGTGGCAGGGCTGTCTCAAAGAAACCACAGAAACAGACACCTTCATCTTCCTCTTCCTTTTAAATATATTAAAACAACTCATTATTCTTATTTTCCAGTTTATACAGAAGTAGCATAAGACCTAAGGCTGTCCAGAGCTGTGGCTCTGCTTAAATACTCTGCAGATGACTTAAAAATAAGCATTACTCTATGTAACTGAATAAACTAAGTAAGTGTGGGTAAAAAGCTCAGAGTTTATTGAGGTGACACGTTATCTTTCTCTCCAGGCAACTGGTTTGCTTGCTGTGTCCAGCAAAAGAGAGAGAGAAAAAAAGTCTCCATGTCTCATGATGCAGCCTGATCATAGCTGTTTTCAGGAGAGCTGAAGAACTGTTTCCCCCTTTCTTCCTCTCTTCCTATGTTGTGATCTGTCAAAACCAGGAACTGGTTTGTCCTTTGCTCTTCACATATCTAAAGAGAAACATTTTTCTCCCTTCCCTTCCCTTCCCTTCCCTTCCCTTCCCTTCCCTTCCCTTCCCTTCCCTTCCCTTCCCTTCCCTTCCCTTCCCT